ATCGACTCCTGAGACCAACTCTACGCGGGTTTGGCGGCCTTCTGTGAGGCGTTCACTTTGTCGCCCAAACTCAACGCCATTCCCTGCGATTTGGCCCGAATCCTGATGTGTCCGCTGACGGGCGCCTCAGACGACGCCTTCTCGATGCTAACGTTGGCCAACGCGTCCTCACCGAAGATGGACTTCGCGTAGAGATTGGCGGCCAAAAAGCCGCAGTCGCCCGACAGTGCCTTTTGCGGTGTCAAACACTTCATGTTTGTGGACTGAATCAAGTGATTGAGATAGTCCTGCAGGTCTGTGAGGCCCGTATTGACCGTCACTTTGTTCTCCCACTCGAATTCGGCCCACATTTGCCGGAACTGCGAGTCATTACACGTCGCGGGGATTATGTAGTCCATGATATCGATGTGGATGTCGTTCAGTACCACTACATTCCGGTCAGATCCGGCCCCAGAGATGTCGTACACTATATATACGGATAAATTGACATTAAGTTGTCGTTCAAAACACATGACTATTACTGACCAATATTGCCGAAAATGATGCCGTTCTCAGTTGAGGCCACTTTGACGGACGCCTTAATGTTGGCGAAGTCATGCGGCGCTAACACCAGGGGTTGCGGTTTCTCCACCAGTTTCAGGTCACCCAATGTCGTGAACTCTAGGGTACAATTCTGTAGGGTATCGGAGCTCTGGTTAACAACCAATACGTCCAGACATATGTCGTACTGATTGACGTTCACATAGCACTCGGCGTACACGGGGTCACTGAAACCGGTCAATTGGGTCACTTTCGACAGCTTCGACGACGACAACAGGTCCGACACATTGACCGACGACTTCTGGCCGAGATTTGTGGTCGCTGTGGGGCCGACGTTACCGGCGATGGCTTGCGATAGACTCACATCAAACTGATTCTCAATGGTTTCCGAGTTTTTGCTCATCAATTGACTGAAAACCAAGTGATCGTCACTTTCGACACATTTGTTGGGTCGAGACTTGACGGCGTGTTTGGCCTCTTCGGCCTCCGATTTACTACTCGTAAGCATACTCTCCAATGAGGAGCGCATTTCAGACAAAAACATTGTGTTTACGAGAGCCTCCACTTCGGGATTGACGCCATTCGGCGCAGAGATTTGCGTCAAAATCATTAGACAGAGTGCTATGCGCTCGAAGTCGTCGTCATTAATGGTTTGGGTAATGAGTTTGGATTTTCCCAAATGAAGAATCGACGTCAATATGAGCATCGATTGGGCCAGAAATGAGTTCGTCTGTTTGCCCGCACCGACCACTTGACGGTAACGCAGCGCCAGTTTAACCAAACAGTTGGCCAGAGCTGTGCCGATAAAGAACTCGCCGTTCAGCAGATGGTTTCGCAGCGGCGGTACGTTCGCCGACTTGTCCACACTCTTCGTGTTGACGCTAAGCGCCGATTGCGTGGCATAAGAGCCGTCGGCGGTCACCAGTTTGGCCGCATTGGGCGCCGCGTTCTGTTGCCGCTCTGCAACGGGCGCTGTTGACGAGTCTTCGCCGTCCACTCCGTTCTCCAGTTTCTTGAGCTCCGCCTCCACTATAGGGATGTCTCCGATGGCGGCGCGTATGATAGCCATGGCCTCCAGTATCTGTGTCTCGTCTTCGTCACAGAACTCTCCCAACACCCAAATCAAGCCGCGATGCACTTTCACGTTACGAATGGTCGGAAACACATCCAATATTCGCGAGACAATCAAATTCTTTTGGTTCAAATTCTTCTGAATGTATTCCCGCGTGAAGACAATCACCAGAATAGCGGTGGTCTCGTCGTCGGCGTTGGTCAACAGCTCAAACAGAGTGGCCATCAAATTACTCGATGCCATTACGTCCGGGTATTTAAGACATATCGAGTGCAGAGTTCCGACCAATAGTTGCCGATATTTGTTGGTCTCTTCGCTGCTTCCCTGGGATTCGCTCTGCGTTTTCAGTATCTCTTTCTTCAACAGTTGGACCAACTCTTCGACATTACGCGACGAAACCA